AAAAAAGAAAGAAAGAAGCCCCGAGTATTAATTACCATATTTTGATACTAAAAATATGTTATTGTGGGCTTTTCTCATTCTTTTCAATCACAAAGTGTTTTTACACTTTTGATTAAGACTCTATCCTCCTCTATATTAGTTTGGCCCTTTGCCCAGAAGGTATTTCCACAGATATGAAACATTTAACCCCTCGCCTATAGAACTTCTCTGAAATTAGTAGCCCAGAAAGCATGAAATGATAGCAATGTCCCCAGAAAATCCTTTCTATTTTTTAAGATGCATGCTAGAAAGTGAAGGGTATACTTATCAAATATTTCTGGGGTGGGTTGGAGAGGGGACAGCGTGCAATGGGAGATTTTATGAGGAAATAAAATAAGGTTCCGTCCTAATGATGCAGAACCAGGAAATTAAAAAAAAATCACAGTCTTAAACCTGAAAGAAAGGACAACTGTTAGAAAAGAGAAACCAAAACAAAGGAAGTACGAAGGTAGGGCTGAACTATATGAATTTTAATGATACAAATTGTAAGCTGAGTTGCACTGTGGTAATTCTCTTAACCCAGAACTGTTTTTTCTAACTCATAAACTGAATGGATTCTGTCAAAGGGGGCAATCCTGTAGGCCATCCCCATGCTGGGAGCCAGGTGCACACTTGGGGTAGCTCCACAGAGGTTGAGGAGTTGTGGTGAACTTGAGAGTTTAAACTAGAACTGCTGGTAAGAATGTAATTTGTAGACTCCATCATAGGAAATTACCAGGATTTGATTGGATTATTTTTTTTCTTTTTGGAGAGGGACTGAGGATTGAATCCAGAGCCTCATTCATGCTAAGCATGTACTCTACTACAGAGCTATACCACCAGCCTCCATTTAAAAAATGCAGTAAAATATACATAAAATTTTCCATTGTAATTAGTTCTAAGTGTACTGTTCAGTGGCATTAAATACAGCATCATTTTCTACTTCCAAAATGTTTTTGTCATCCCCAACAGAAACTCTGTATCCCTTTCAACCATACCTCATTCTTTTCACCCCTCCAACCCCAGTAGCCTCTCTCCTACTTTCTGTCTCTGTGAATTTGTCTAGTCCAGGTACCACACAGAAGTGAAATCATGTGTGAGCTCTTGTCTGGCTTCTTTTACTTAGCATGTTTCCAAGGTTCATGCAGGTTTTGGTGTCTATCAGTTGCATTCCTTCTTAAGGCAGAGTAACATTCCACTGTGTGTGTGTGTGTGTGTGTGTGTGTGTGTGTGTGTGCCAGCCACCTTTGTTTGCCTGTTCGTCTGCTCGACATTTGGACAGTTTCCACATTTGGGCTGCTGTGACTTGTGCTGCTATGAATGTTGGTGTGTAAGTATCTGTTTGAGTCCTTGCTTTCAATTCCTTTGGCTCGACCTATACCTCAGAATGGACTTGCAGAGTCGTATGGTAATTTTAGGTTTAGTGTTTTGAAGATCTGCCCTATTGTTTTCGATAGCGGCTGCACCATTTTACATTCCCATCAGCAAGGCAGAACTTCAGTTTCTCTGCATTTGCCTTTACATTTGTTACCGTCTTTCTTGTTTGCCTTTTGTTGTAGTCTTTCTGGTGACTATAAAGAGTTACCTCATTGTGGCTTTGATTTACATTTCTCCAATGAGTAATGGTGTTAAGCACCTTTTCCTGTGTTTATTGGCAATTTGTATATTGGACAAATGTGTATTCAAATCCTTCACCCAATTTTATTTTTAAATTTTAATTATTGTTTTTTGAGATGGTGTCTCACTACATAGCCCAAGCTGACGTCAAACTGGAGATTTTTCTGACTCTGCCTCTGCCTCTGGAGTGCCGGGATTATAGGCAACTGCTTTGCATCCAGCTTCCTTTGCTTATTTTTACATTTTTAATTTATGCTGTGCATGCACACAGGCGCAAGTACATGCATGCTTCACATGCACAACCACATGCATGTGAAGGTCAGAGGACAATTTGCAGGAGTGGGTTCTCTCATTCCACCACGTGGGTTCCCCGGGATGGAACTCAGGTCAACAGGTTTGGCAGCAAGCATCTTCACCTGCTGAGCCATCTCACCCACCCATTTGGCTTATTTTTATACTGAGTGTTTTTGTTTTGCTATTGTTGAGCTGGAGTTCTTTATAAATTCTGGATATTAATCCCTCAACGAATGTGATTTGCAGAGATTTTTTTTTCACATTCTGTAGGTTGCTTTTTTTACTGCTGTGTGTTTATTTTTAACTGATACATAGTAATCATACATATTTATAGGGTACAATGTGATTGTTTTTGGAGAGTGTGTGGAGAGGTAAAAGGATACTTCATTACGTAGCCCAAACTAGCTCAAACTCTTGAACTAAAATGATCCTCCAGCCTCAATCTCCTGAATAGCTGGAACTATAGGGGCATGCCTCTGTGCCCAGCTGTTTATTGACATCCTTGTTGAAATCAATTGACTGTATATGTGAAAAGTTATTTCTGGGCTCTCTATTCTGTTCCTCTGTTATAAACACCTGCCTTTATGCCAGCATCAAACTGTTTGGTTGATTGTAACTTTGTAGAAAATTTTCAAATCAGAAAGTGGAGTCCTCTTTTTGCTCTTCTTTTTCAAGATTCTTTTGGCTAGGCAAGGGGGTCTCTTGATTATCCATGGTCTTACCAATTTCTGCAGAAAAGCCCGCTGGATTTTAGGATTGCATCAATCCTTAGCATTATATCTATGTTGCCCAGGCTGGACTCCAACTTGATTTCCCTGTGTCAGTCTTCCAAGCAAGTAAGTGGGGTTATAGGTGAGTGCCACTGGGCCCAGGAGTCCTAAGTCTATAAATCCTTGAGTGTGGGCTTTTTTTTCCAATTTATTTTGGTCTTTACCTTCTTCCAGTGTTTTTTAGTTTCCAGTGTACCAAACTTGTACTTTATTACATTTATTCCTATCTAAATTCTTTTGTTATTGCAAATGGGAATTTTCAGTTTCACTTTCAGATTGCTTAGTTAGTGGATAAAATAGAATTGATTTTAAATGTTGATCTTATATCTTGCAAGACCTTGCTAAACTCATTTATTAGTTTTATTATTTTTTATAGTGGATTACCCAGGATTTTCTATATATAGGATCATGTCATGTGTAAGTAGAGTTTTGATTCTTCATTTCTTATCTGGGTGTCTTTCATTTCTTTTCCTTCTCTGGCTAGAACCTCAAGTACAGGGTGGAATAGAATTTGCTAGAGTGGACACCTTTGTTAAAGGTGCAGTTTTCATGGGGTTAAAAGAACTGTGTTCACTCACTAATCCTTTTGATTTTAGATAAATGATTCACCCTTTCTGTTTCTATACCTAAAGTCAAGGATAGAAATATATGTCTGGCTGTTTAGAAGGGCTCTGAGGATTAAATAAGACCACCATGTGCTTGGCAAATTTACAGTGTTACATGGGCGGTAGCATTTCTCATAAGCTACTGGGGGAGGGAAACCATGCATAGAAGTAATTATACAAACAAGAAAACACGTGCTAAGAGTTATTAGGACTATAAATAATGTGTTTTGGACACACTATCAATTTTTGTGGTGAAAACTTTGTAAACAGTGTAGTGTTGCATAGAGAAAATATTTAGAAATATGGCACCAGTAACATGCCTTCACTGTGTCACCTAAATTAGTTTGGATTCCATTTTAACACTCCTTTATTAGAAAGAAATATATAAATTCAACAATCTTGTACAAAATATATATATTTTTTTACAGGGCTGTTCCATGATTTTACATGTGATTTGGTGCTCACAGGCATTTTGAAGTAAAGATGAAATGTGATAAATTAGGAATTGCATTTCTTTCCTCTTCAGTTGGATATACTAGGTACACTGTATAGAATTGTTCCAGGCTCTCCATTTATCCGAGATTGGCCTGATCAATTTTTCCTCTGCAGCCTGTACTTTGGATTGTCTACACGCAGAAAATAGTCCCTGACATAGCGGATGGGTTTATAAGTCCCTTCCGGGTTCTCACACTGAATGGTGCTGAGGGTATGGCAATAGAGGTTCATCTTGCTGCATTTAATATTGCCGAGTCTCTGCTGTCTGTGACGCGATAATGTTTGTCTTTACTGCTTTAAGGGCTCATGTGGCTGCAATGTACTAGGTCCCAGTCTGTGGGCCTTTAAGACAGTCTAAATGCTTTCTGGGACTGATGCTGCAGAATCGTGTGAATGAGCTTAGAGCGCCGCCCTCTTAGGGTGGGAAGGAGGCCCCCACTCTCAAGGAGCTCTAGCCACACCTTCCCCCTATCGGCGGCAAGCAGGTGGCCAAACCCTTGGGACCTGGCACCGCCGCAGCCCGGTGGCCCGACCTGTTCTTAAGTCATGTGACAGGTCAGCTGCCTTGATGGGACCCCAGACACCGCGGCTGCAACCGCCTAGTGCTGCGCCCCTCCCTTTCCCCCCCCCCGCCATTCCGGAAAAGGGGCGGCCGGTGACGTCATCATCCGGGCCTTCGTAGGTGAAGCTAGGGTTCACAAAGGAACAAAAACAAGCAGCCCTAGTCAAACGCGGCTCCCGCGTTTAACCCTCTGTTGCCCACACACTAGGCCATTCCTGACAGACCAGCCCCTTCTGGGCTGAACGCTGGATCGTCTCAGACCTCCCTCTCTCCCCCACCCCATCCCCCACTTCGGGCCGTCTCCGCGTCCCCGAGCCGAGGCGGTGTGGAAGAGTCTCTGGCCCTCGATTAAGAAGCCACGGTACAGAGCGAACAATCTCTACTGCATTGTCTTCCCCTCCCCCACGCAGCTTTCTCAGCCTCCGCGGGCCCCCTGGCGGCGAGTCACTCTTCCCTGACTTCCCAACCAACCCAAGGTGGACAGAGAGGCGAAGGCGCAGTTGGGCGTGAGGGGGGCTGGGCGGGGGCAGGGGGCGGACCGAGAGCGAGGGCGGGGCTTGAGAGGGGCGGGCCCTGACGGGGGCGGAGAACCTAAGGGCCTGAGGCGGTGCTGGGACTAGTGGGAGTCTGCGCTGCCGCCGCCGCTGTTGCCACTGCCTCTGCCGCTACCGGCTGAGCGGTTTTTTTTTTTTTCCTTCTTTCTTTTTCCTTTTTCTTTTTGATTTGCCAGATCCGCCATATTGACGAGGCCAGGGCACCCGCGGCTGCGGAAGCTAGTCTCCGCCGCCGCCGGAGCCGCAACCTCTCGGTAGCCGGCCCGTTTGGGCCCTCCTTTCTGTCCCGCCGAACCCCCTCCTCGCCTTGTATCGGCTCTCGGGAGGCTGCCGCCGCCTCTCTCTCACGGGAGGCGACTGCCTTTAGCGCCCCAGAACCCGGGGTCGGCGACGGGGAGCGAGGAGCCGAGCGGCAACCAAGCGAACAGGCCCCGACTGGGGGGACAGAGGCGGCGACTAGGGGAAGGTGAAACTGCCGTTGCAGTAGGAGGAGCAGGAGGAGGTGACGCAGGAGAAACGCACCGCCCGGAGCTTGTCTGAGCTCAGCGAGCGCCCCTGCCTAAGGGGAGAAGGGGGAAGAGGGCCGCCGCCGGCTGAGGGGTGGAGAAGGCGGCCGCGGCCACTACTGCCACAGGGCGGCCTCTGTGAAGAGCGGACCCTCTAGTCCGCCCGCACGCGTGCGGCTGCGCTGTGTCTCCACACACTTAGTCGCCCGTCGGGCTTGGGATGCGCCTAGGTTAGGCCTGGGTCCCAGAACCGAGCTTTCGCCTGTCGCCCGCCGCCTCCAGCCTCCGCGTGTCCAGCTTCTTAGAAGACGCCTGTGTTGTGTTCGGTGAGTAGCCGGCCGGCCATGCCGAAGCCACTCTGCTTTCGGAGGCCGACAGCTGGCCCGAGGGGAGGGGAGGGCGGCGAGGGGAGGTCGGCCAGGGGGTGTGCGGGTGTGCGAGGTCCCTCCCTCGGTGGCCCTGGCCGACCCGGGGGGTTTCCCTCCTGCCGCGGGGCTGCGCTGACGAGAACTCGGACCTCTGTGACCTGCGCGCCGCCGGTGTCCCGGGAGCGAGTGTGTCTGTGAGTGAGTGCGTGTGTCAGTGTGCCCATGGTGGAGAGAGGGATGTGTGTGAGGGAGAGTGTTTTGGACTGCCAGGGAAAATGGCTGACGGCTCCGGCCCTCCCCTTCCTCCCCCTTCCAGTCCTGACTGGGACTGAGGGGTGGAGGATGGAGACTCGGGGCGCCGCGGTGTAGCCCCTCCGCCGGCGCAGGGACTCGGTTGGACCCCGAGGGGCGACCCGGGTCCCCAACCCCGCCGTCGCTCTCTGCGGCTTTCCACTTGACACCAAACGCCATTACTGAGGTGGAGTGATTTGGAGCTCGAGAACTAGGCCTCGCCGACGCCTGGCTATCGGGCCGCGGACAGGGCCGCCTCCCCCGCCCTACCGCGATAACCCGCAGTCCTCGGCCGCTCGCGGCCCCGGGACGCCGGACCGGATTATTGGGACCCCGGCATCTGCTCACGGCCAAGGGCCGAGCGGGTTTGGATGCAGAAGTCGATTCCCAGCGAGCCTGCACCTCGCCACCTTTCTCTCTCTCTCTCTCTCTCTCTCTCTCTCTCTCTCTCTCTCTCAAAAAACGCTCTCACTCTGTCTGCCGCTCTCTCTCTCTCTCTCTCTCTCTCTCTCTCTCTCTCTCTCTCTCTCTCTGAAAAAAACGAGAAAATCTAGCGTCTGCGAGTTGCTGACTGAAAAAAGCCTCAGGTGTTGTGATGTGAGGCTTCAGCTTCGATAAATGGCTGATTTTTCATTCATCGTGAAATAGTGAAGTTGAAGAGTTGGGGAGCAGGTGGATAGCTGGGGAGGGGTTCTTACTTTGGATGGGTTCCTGCAGGTACTGGAATTTTGAAAGCTATTTTCAGTAAAACTTGCTTCAAATTCAGCACATTATTTTCGTCGTTAACGGCGCGAGTCGAATTTTCACGTTGCGGTTTACAGGTGTGCGAAATAGCCCGAGATGGCCATTGGATTTCTTTGCGGGAATTGTGGGGTTGGGCTTAAATATTCTGGTTTCTTTTTGCGGGAATAGAGATTTTAACATTCACCTGTAAGCCTCCAGCTTCCTAAATGTGTCCTTTGTGTAATTTCCCTTTTGAGGAAGAAGAATCTTGGGTGCATTGATGAGGAAGCTTCTCAGCAGGTACTCTGGAGCTCTTATCTACCTTTATTCCTAGCACTAGTTAACCCTTACCACCTCGGCCTTAGCCCATACACTTGACTTAAAAATTGAAGCTACAAACTCTGTACATCTCCCCAGTGTACTGATTCACCAGGCTGCCATTTTGGCTTAATAAGCAAATGCTTTCCAATTTCTAGAACATTTAGGTATTTAATATGCAAAGATTGAACATTTGTTTTCTCAATGGTTAAGATTTTGTGGTTTGTCATACTTGTAACTTTAACCCTTTAAGGTTTATTGTTCCAGCGTTTGAGTAGAATGAAAGCTCGAAGTATTTGGAATTTGATGTTCCAAGGGTGAGATCAAAATTTTTTTTCAGGATGTTTTGCTTTCCCTGACTATATGAATGTCTTTATGCCTTTTCTAACCTCTTTTTACACGAAAATGTACTATTGTACTTAATGTTCTGATGCTGTTTCTTCCTTTGGTCTGCTGACCTTGGTAGTTTTTTGAGAGAATTTCTGGAGGGATTTAAAGGACAAGAACAGTATGTGTGTGAGAGGATCTTGGGTTTTTCAGAAAGTAAGTTTGAAGGGTAGATTATACCTTTCACCAAATTATGCGATTTCATTAGTATCCCATAGTTCTCTTCATATTAGTGAAATGCTTGGGTACGATTTTCTTTTGGGTCTTTTGTCTTCCAAGATGTTGAAATACATTTTCTGATCCCTCTAGAAGAGAGATGTAGTGGGTATCTCTTCAGAGATCATTTTTCTTTGACACAGTATTAATAATAACATGCTACTTAGTTTTGAAAATGGATCCTTGTCATGATCTGCCTGTCATTCAGTTCTTGATTAGTTGGAAACATAAAAGTGTTCTGTTAGTGTGTCTTTCTAGTTAACAGATCCAAATTTAAAGAATACTGACAGAATTTTAGTATTGAAATGACATTTTTGTTTCAAGCTGGTTAAACAAAATTACTTAAAACAAACAGGTGTGGATTAGTCCTTGTCTTTTAGGCCCTAAGTTTAGAAGGTGAAGTTATATAGTCTATGATTATTGAACTACCTTTTTTTTGTCCTAAAAGAACATAATACTTATAGTCTATCCCTCCCTACTAGCATGTTTTCTGATTCTTGAAAATGTTTTTTTTTTTTTTGAAAAACAGGAAAAAAAATCTAGTTTCTATTGGGTTGTTTCAGAATCTATATTTTTTGAGAGCTGCTGTGTTGTTGAGTTCTTGGGAAAGAGTTACTGCATTGATCCTCGACTCTGGACATTAGAATCACTTGAAGGACTAAGAGTGCTGTGTCTGATTCTGATAAGCAGAGTTGAAAACCACATTTTAGCTTGCTGTTATAGAACTTTCATGTAGATAAATAAGAAAATGAATTTTTTCTTTTTCTGACTGCTTTCAAACTATCAGCATAATTATCAAAATAGTAAGACATTTTCGAAATGTCTTGATTGGGCGCACAGAAGATAACAGCACATAGATTGCCTTCCATATGTCTCTCAACGTGTTTTAGAGTGATAGGTTAGTTTATGGCTAAAATAATATTAAGCAATTTCAACATTCTTGAAATAAAAACAAACATTTGACTCAGTAATTTATTCAAATTACTAACCAATTTGAGAGTTTCATTTCATTTAGTTTAAAATCAATTTAATTTTCACCAGAATTTTTAAGACTAAGGGTTTCATTTAGCGTTTTTGTAGCATTCATTATTTTATGGAATGAATAAAATAGCAACAGACATTGGGTATTGGTGCCCAGCTTCCTAGGACTGGAGACTGGGGCCTCATTCTTGCTATGATAGTGTATCATTACCACTGAGTTATATCCATGACCCTCTGTGTATTTTTTAATGTGATATAAGAATCCTCAAATATCTTTGTTAAATCACCGTAGAAAATAGGATTTTAGTAATCTTGAAAGTTCTTTTGTATTGTTTGCATTTTTGTTGTTGTGGTGGTCTGTCTTGCTTATGAGACAGGCGCTCATGTAGCCTTTTCCTCAAACTGGTGATGTAGCCAAGAATGACTTTGAACTCTTGATCCCTCTGCTTCCCAAGTGCTGGGATTACAGGTATTTGCTGCCACATCTAGCTCTCTAAAGTTTCTTTTTTTTTTTTTCCGTTTTGAGACTGGGTCTCCCTGTAACCCCAGCTGGCCTGAAACTTGCTATATAGGCCAGGTTGGTCTTGAATTCACAGCGATTCACTTGCCTCTGCCTCCTAAATGCTGGGATTAGAGGCATGCACCACCATGCCCAGCTAACTTTCTTACATGGAAGAAAAAATTTCTGAAATTTCTGAAATAGGTTATTGGATCTTGAATTTATCAGCATTGATTATACATTATAGTATGACCGCTGTAATATTTTGAGGGGAAAATGTGAAAAAGTACATTGTTAGGATGAGCTATTTTACCTAAAATTTATTATGCATTTGATACTTAATCAAAAGGCTAAAAATGATTAAAATTAATCCTTCAAGCATACCCATGCAGAGTCCTATTGTCCATCATGTACCCTACATATATATTCATATTTTTTGTTTTATTTTTTGAGACAGGGTCTCCCTATAACCCAGGTGGACCTCGATATTCTTCCTGCCTCTGCTGGGATTAAAGGCCTGCATCACCACACCTGGCCAACAGATTTTTTTGTTTGGTTTGGCTTTTGCTGAGTCTCCCTATGTAGCCCAGGCTGTCCTCAGCTCCTGAGCACCTGAGGCTACAGACATGGGATGCCAAGCTGAGATTTTTCTGCCTTGACTGTGTATCACAGTCACCTGTGAAACTTTTTCAAAATATATTCTCTTTAGATTATAATTAGATAAGTTTGGAATAGGAACTGGGCATTAGGGGGTCAGGGCAGGTAAAAGCACTAGGCGGTACAGATCTGATGGCCTCATTCCATCCCTATAACCGAGGGTGTGGTTTTTTGCAGCTCATTTTATGGAAAGTCACTGATGACCCTTAGATCACAGAAAGTATCTGGCACATAGATAGATACTCAGTCACTGTTAAATTTGTTTGTTACATCTTATTTGTGTGAGGTCTGTATGCAGAGGAGGTCAAGACAACTTGAGTTGCTTCTCTCCTTCCACCATGTGGGTCTGAGGGATCAAATTCAGATGGACAAGCTTGGTTGCAGGGGCCTTTCTACTGAGGTATCTTGAGATGCTGGCTCTTGGTATGGATTGCAGGGGGGGAGCTTTCTTGATTTTTTTTTTTTCTCTAGTTGGAGTCACTTGACCTGATAATCCTTTTATGATGATGCCTAGAATGAATCTAGTCAAACCAGTCATTTTCAGCTGAGGAAGAAATGAGATGAAGAACATAACCAAAACAAAAGATATCCTGCCTTCATGAAACTATTTCCATAATTAACAAATCACATCAATTATTTTCTAAACCATTACATTACCTTTGTGTAGTCACTTACTAGTTGATGAATAATAAGGTCAGGTCAGGGATTCTGTCCTTTACCTTTGGATATTTACAGAGCACCTACAACAGTGCTGTTTACAGTAACTGCTTATTGATTGGCTGAATGGCAAAATCTGGGGTCATATTTGACTTCTAGTACCTCAAACTGTTTGTACAGAATTGATAACATCTTTTATTTTTCAGTGCCAGGGATTGAAACCCAGGGT